TACATGCATTATGCACATTATATATATATATATATATATATATATATATATATATATATATATGTATGTATATGTATATATATATATATATATATATATATATATATATATATATGCAAGTGCACAATAATTTCTCTCTTTATATCTACATCCACAAGTCAAGTCTGTTTTGTACAATTATACAAGAACGAATACATGTAAACTCTAGAGAGAGATCTCCAATTAAACCGTGGTAGCGAACGTGTTAAGCGAATAATGAAGATTTGCGAATTTGAGTTGGATTTCATCGTGCGGGCACGCAATCGTTCCTAATTCATGAACCCGACGTTTTAACACGTTAATTAAGCAAGTAAACATTCTGCTCCAACCCAAACAAGAATTGAGTACTCCATTATCAGAGACTGGCGTAGTAAGTCGGACATTATCGATCAATTCGAACCACGTCGTAATTGCAAATGAAGAGATCACTGAGAAGCCGCGTCTTATTACCCTGACTGAAATACACCGAAACTTTTCCCAGAGCACACGGGCGAAATGCAAAATTTCAACTTAATTGTTCGATAACGATCTCTCGTGAGAAACCCGTGTATCGTCGAAGTGCTTCGACCACTCGTTCGCCATTACCGTAAACGAGCTCGGAAACTTATACTTTAACGATTACATACTCTTATTCTGTTAATGCATAACAACCGCTCAGGAGCTCGCGTTCTCCGTTTTCCTCGCGGATTCGTTAAGTGGAATTCAACGATACGAAAACGACGTAGAAGACGACGACGTAGAAGACGACGACGACAACGACGACGACTAGGATGGCGACGACCGCGTTACCGACCATCGCTGCGCAAATATTTAACGAAGTTGCGTCTTCGACTTTGACGCCGTTTTCACCTACAAAAGACGTTAATTTTCCTTGGCTAGGCGCAACACTCTTTAGCCGCAATCTCAGTCTTCACAGTCCGGAGTCTTTAAACGATTCGAACCTAATTACACGACACAGCCCGCGCGCTATTTCTCTGCTCCGCTTGACGCGACCAAAGACAGAGCAAGTTCCCTTTATATCGGGGCAACTCTCCCGTGGATCTCGGCCGAACAAAGTCCCGGCGATCGAAACGGCATCGCCGGCGTTTCCAAATGATCATCAAAGCCCCGTCGTCTACCGACCAAGATCGCGTTACTCGGATGTTTGAATTCGAGAGCAACGTTTGCCTTCCTCTACCACGGCACATCAAAGAGAAAAGTAACGTGGAATATATAAGAAAGGCCGATGCACACGTCGATACCAGGCTCCCTCTCGCTTTTACTAGGGCGAAATCCGTTATTTTTGTGGGAGCCGCTTAAGGGTAAGTATTGAAACCGACAAAAAAAAGAAGGGGGGAGGGGAGGGAAGAGAGCCACCAGCAACACCACCGACCAAGGAAAATACGACCACGGGCTCGTACAGCAGAACGAAGCGAAACGATAACTCATGACGCATGCGGCGGTGAAATTCTCGCGGGAAATTCTGACAAACAACTCCTGTCGGCAGTAACGCACGGCCTCGATGCAAATGCACAAGCGTACACAAAGTTTTGTGCGCATTGATAGACAGACTGCGGTTGCCTGCATCGGGAACGTACTAATGTTGAAAATGCGGACTAATGATTGGAAGAAGTAACGCGATTAACGGGAACTCTAAGGCTTCTCTTTAACATTACGATCGCTGCTCATTTCATTGGGTACGTGCGTCTATTCCGAGCTCTTTCAATAATAACTCGACATTGATCGATCCTACGCGTGCAGTCATGTTTCTTAGGACGTGCAATCTCGGTCTGTTAAGCCTGATCTACAATATGCTCTTTGTGTTCTGTTTCTTGTCTTCTATCTTTTTTTGGCTTAAAGTTTAAGGTTTGAGTCAGAAAGAGATAAAGAGAAAGAAGCAGGAAGCAAAGAACACATTGTAGATCAAGTTTTAGACTCGGTAAATTTGAACTGCCATAACTTCATTGGAAATCAATATTTGTCGACACAATTCTTTTCAGAGATACAAATAAGCCTCAGCTAAGCTTTAAGATAATAAACAGTAAAATCGAAATCTGCGGACTTGTGTTTCTACACAGAAAGAACAGAGAGATTTATTGATTCAAATAAATGTTTATTTGGAATAGTCCAAACGAATTATTTGGTTGACACAACAAAAATATTTCTTTGGAACTAAGCCGCAAATAAATATTTTTGTTGCTTCAAACAAAATTTTGTTTGATTAGTCGAAAAATTCGTTTGGACTATTCCAAAGAAACGTTCATTTGATTCAACCAAATCGTTCTCTCTGTGTAAATTTTTCCGAACCTATAGTTTCTCTAGTCAGAGTTGTTACAAAACATGATGATCCCTGATCGGCCTGCATCCTGTCCGCCATTTTTAGGAATGATGTGAGTGGAACTAAAAGTGAATCTAATAGGAGTGAGAGAGGAGCTCTAAGACTGAAATGACGAAGCACGCTGCAACTTCACTCTCACTCACTCACTTCCTCCCCACAAATAGTGGACAATGTTTTAATTCTGACTTAAGGAACTCTAGCTGGACTCTGCGAAAGTTGGTGAATAATCGAATATTCGTTAAGTCTCACAAATCTAACATTGTATAGGTCTATCAGACTCAGGCAACTTTGAACTATTATAACTTTTTTGAAAATCTATATTTTTGGACACATTTATTTCTGAAAATATAGGAAAGCCTTGGTTGTAAAATAGTAGCGCAATAAAGTCGAAATCTGCAGATTTGCGCTGTGTCTAAATTTTTTCATACTTTCTCTAGTCCAAAGTACAAAGCATGATGATTCCTGACTGGTCTGCATCCTTTCCGCTTTTGGAGGTGAATGTAAATAAAAGTGAGAGATCTATCCTAGTAGGGATGAAAAAGAAGCTCTAAGACTGAAATAACGAAGCATGCTGCAATTTCTCTCTTACTCACTCACTCATTTCCCTTCTACAAATGGCGGACGATATCCTAACTCCGACTTGAGAAACTCTACCTAGACCCTTTGTGAAAGTTGGTGAGCGATCGAATATTTGTTCGGGTCTCACAGATGCAACGTTATACAGCTCCGACGGACTCGGATAATTTTGAACTAGAACTATACTGATAGAAAAATATCTAAGAAATAAAACATACTAATAACATACTTACTTGAATCTAAATGTTTTCATTTAAATAGAATAAACAATTGCTTTCATGAAAAGTTAAAGTTTCAGGCAAATTTATATTTTCTTATTTGAAAAAATTTTATATTCGTGTATAAGTAAATATGTTATTACACACAAAAAATACATACTGCAATCAAGTAAATGTTATTCGTTTCAAGCATTTTATAAGTTTATGTATTTATAAATCTATCATAAACATCAAATTTTTTCAATATCCATTCTGAATACCCAATTTAACATTTCAATTCAAGAATATTCAATCCAAACAAAATTTCCGTTTGTTTGCTACATAGTCGTTTGCTATAGAGTCAAACCAATTTCTTCTTTGAAAGTTTCACAATATTCTTGTAAAATAAATAAATCCTTCTTCTAACTGCATGATAATAAGCTTTTCTTAAATTCGTGATGACTATGTTTTAAAACTATTATCAAAAAAATATTGTTTACTGAAGATAACCATTACTTAAAAGAAGAAAAGTGATTTGAGTGATTGTTTTTCTCTTAGCAGTAAAATTATATTTTTCTGTATGTAGAGAGAGTACTTACTAAATAAATATTCTTTATTTCTTTAATATTTCTCGCTCAGTGTATTATAAATTTGTTGAAAATCAATATTTTTAAACACATTTTTTGCCAAGAGATATAGAAAAACTACAAATATAAGATAGTAGCGTAAGAAAATCAAAATCTGCAAACGGATTTGCGCTATTCTGAATTTTTCCCAGAGCCTTTACGAAAATTGGTGAATGATCGAATGTCTGTCTGAGTCTCCACAGACCCAACATCGTAGCGCGTAGGATTAACATTAAATTTTTTTACGTTCTTCCGAAATTCATCACGGCGAATCTCTCGGCGAATCCGAAATTCAATTTCCCTCAAAAGTTACGGCAATTTATAAGTAGGTAATGTTAAACATCTTGTCAGATCTTGAAGTAAAATTTCATATAAAAGATTGTTTAAATTTTAACGAACAGTAAAATCTTATTATTTCATCACACTTTAGAAATTTTCGAAACGTTTTTCATTTTCACTCCTAAGATTTTTAAGCATGTAGAATCTAATAAATATGGAAAGACGAGAACGCACAGATGCACTCGTCGCGCGAATTTCCGAGTTTGAAAAGATAAAATGTATTTTTCCAATTGGCAGGTGTATCGCGTTACGCATAATGAAAAAAATTTCACTTCGGCGTATTCGTGCGTTAAAAAAAATGCATATCGGAAGGGGGAAAAGAGAGAGAGAGAGAGAGAGAGAGAGAGAGAGAGCAGCTTCGTCAAAAAAATTCCGAACGCGTTGATACTCGAACGCGATCAATCGGCCGTAAAGAGCAACGCGAAAAAATAAATATGACAATGCGGACATTTTTATGAAATCTCGCGCGTCGCGTCTCTCGGTCGTGCTCGTGATGAACGCTGAAACTTCGTTCCTCATCGCCCGCTCTTTCTCTTTTTTTCCTTTTTGTTTCGCTTGTCTCCCTCTCTCTCTCTCTCTCTCTCTCTCTCTCTCTTTCTCTTTTTTTTTTCTTTTCATCCCGTCGCTTTGCTTTTTCCCGTTGTCCGCACGCGTCACGTCGATCCGCCGTATAAGCGCTCGACAAGCAAATAATCCGTAGAGCATCATTTCACGATACTTTATGTACTTATGTCGCTTTTATATATGCAGCGCATCCCAGAGTGATGGCGTACGTGATGCAAGGCGGATTGCAGTCGCTGCAAGAGGCGGTGCACCACTCGGTGCCGGTAGTCGCGATCCCCTTTTTCGGGGATCAACTTTTCAACGCACGTAAAATCCTAGACGCCGGTATCGGACTGACACTGGACATCGACACCATGACCGAGGACTCCATCGTACAAACGCTCGCGGAGGTCGTCGAAAATAAAACGTGAGCACGGCGCGATCCTAACGAAATCGCTTCGAGGGGATGTGACTTTTCGAAAGTTAATCCCGACGGCACTACGTCATTTCGATCGCTATTCTTTAGACCGTACGCATTTACGGATGATGTGTGGCGACTGGCTAGCGGATCAAGAATTCCCGGATTTTCTCGGGAAATATTTCTGAAATATTTGGAGAACTCCGGAAATTCATTATCCCATAGTGAACGGCGTCCGCCGAACTTGCGCTACGACAAACGAGTTATTAGTCCAAAGGTCATTAACGATTGATGGTCTTCTTCATCTCTGCACACCAATTTCAATTCTCCATTGCATTAGGCAGCGCATTATAGTTTGGGAACTCTTAGTTTGTGTTCAGTAACGCAATTAAGATTACGAGATTAACTCGTGCGATTAGTTGTATTTTTTAAGACCTACGTTTGTTATTGAAGGAAATTCAAATTTATTTAGATTGATGGAGAATTGATGCTGCATGGGAAAAATATTATGTAGTTTTTTCAGATAAATTCTTTTCAATTTTACTATGTTTCTAGATGATGTAAAAACAGATTATCAGTAAGACATAAGGCACATAATAAAGAGTGCGACTAAGCATAGATATTTCGCCTATTTTTTTAAAAACTTGAAATATTCCAATATTACAATTAATAATACATCGATTTGAAGCTTATATCGAGTAAATTAACCCTCCATTGCCCTCGTATGAGGCAAACTCGCTGAGTGGAAGTTTTATTTTCTAATTATATAAAAATAGCTTCACAGTTAGCTTTGAAACTTTCTGGCTTTTCATTTACAACTTTTTAGATTATATTTGTATGGTTGTTTTCTTAATTTCGTTAGTATAACTTTTATTAATAGACTCTGGAAAGTGTTAACGCGCACTCATAGCGAGAGTATACGTGAGATAATCATACGTGAAATTAATGCGACTCGTGCTGTTATAAAATTTAAGCTTTACTCTGATCGATCAATAATAAGTCATGTTTTAATGCATCTACTCATTTTTATGAAGCCGTATTAATGTAACAATAATTAAATTTTCACTTAAATTCAATTAATAACAGGTGCGGCATTCGCTCATACGAGAACACTAACGTTCGTCAGACGAACGAGGGTAATGGAGGGAATAAAAATATATTCTTGATATTAATCTCGCACACTAAGAGAAAAATATTTGATATTTACAATTATAATCATATAGAGAAATAATTATTATAAATAATGATCAAAACAACCATTTTTTAGTAAATTGTATTTTAATTTTAGTGATAATAATCTTATATGCATGTTACTACTACTATCTTCGTGTTGGAACTAAAAAATATAGTTGAGGCCCAATTTGACACCAACTATATTTTTTGGTTGTTCCAACACGAAGATAGTAGTAGTAACATGCATATAAGATTATTATCATTAAAATTATAATACAATTGGCTAAAAAATGGTTATCTTGACCATAATTTATAGTAATTATTTCTCTATGTAATTATAATTACAAATACCAAACATTTTTCTCTCAGTGTAGTTATTTGAGAGATAAATGGTTCAAGAGGTTGCAATTCAAGTTGCTGTTTGTTGAAACTGCAACTTTTAATTAGATGATTTATCTCCCAAGCGACTACGAAAATAATATTGAGATCTTCTATTTTTAATCTATGGGTCTTAAATTTCAGATTGACGTATCATTTATTGGAATATTCAAAGTTTGATGAAATCTTATGGAAAGGAGGCAAAACTTGACTGCATTGTTTGAAATATTTCAACTAGAAACATAGTAAATTTTTTGAAAGCTCATTTTTTAAGATGCAAATAACACATGTGAAATGAAAGAATAGTCAATTAATATAATAATATCGATCTGCTTCTCAGTTACAAAATCCTATACTAATTTTTACTGCAAAATTCTCTCTGTGTGTTAATGCGCGTTGTCTTACAAAAATTCTAATTGTAGGTATCTGAACAACATCAGAAGAATGTCGGCAATTGTACGGGACGAATTAGTAAAGCCTATGGAAAGAGCAATATGGAGTGTGGAGCACGTATTGAAGTTTCCTGACTCAAGACATTTACGATATCACGGACGTGATATATCATGGATAGATTATTACGCGACATTTCTGTGTTTAAGTGTATTTCCTGCTATTTTAATGTACATCATTTATCGAATTATCATCACTTTTCTTAAGTACAAATGGATAGGTGACGTAAAACGAAAACTTGAGTAGCAAAGAAAATTTATGGCATTGATCATGAGAAACAATTATATACAAAATATATGATCTTTCCTGATATAAAACTACTTTCATATGTAATGTTTATATGCAATATAATCATGTATGTTAAGTTATGAGAAACACACCCAACGTAATAGAATTTCATCCTTGGCGGGGTTCTCTTGTATATAGCCTCCAGAGGATTTTTCTAAAAGGAAAATGTTTTATACTCAAAGAAAAGAACTCTAGTTGCAAAAAATGCTTGGTATTATTTTCTGTATAATCCTACATTCTAAGCAGAAACTTTTATCAAAAAGGCATTTCTCTTCTAATGAAATAGATTACACTGAGATGAAAAACGTTTAAGAAATAAAAAATGTAGAGGATATTAACATATTTACCTATATTAATATAAAACAACATAATATTTTAATTTTCTTAAAACAACATAGTATTTATCTATACTAATATAAAATATTTTGCAAATAAAAAAATGTACATTTTCTTAAAATCTTAGTTTTCCATGAAAGCAAAGATTAAGCAATTACTTATTTTGTTTGAATATATATAAGAGAATTTAGATTTAAATAAATATATTACTAGTATTTGTCAAATAGCTATTTTTTAATTTTTATATATTTTTTCTCTTACAAAGGATTTTCTCTTGATAGAAGTATCCCTCATCGATTTTGATACGTTTTGGATATGTTATAGAGCATAAAAAAATGTGTCTTTTTTTATATTCTATAAGATATCCAAATCGATGAGGGACACTTTTGTCAAGTCTCTTGTCAATATATTAGCCGAGAATCTATTAAATATTATTCTAACATTTTTTTTCCTTTTGAGTCAAAAGGAAGATATTTATTTGAAGTAGAAAATATTCTCTTGCTTAAGAAATTCCTACAAAGAACAAGATTTATATTGTAGATAAAAGACGAAATTCTTCTAACTTTAAGAATTTTGTGCTTAGAAAATTTTGCGTTTGGTTTTAGAAGAATCCTCTTGAACATTACGACAATATGTTAAATTAACACATCGTATATCGACACATGAGTATATCGAAAGTTTAACATCAAAATCTCTACACAAATCGATTTTGACATAAATACAAAATATTTTTTACCGTGTAAAATCTAAATATCACATAGAAACCGTGTAAAATGTAAATTAGACTATGTCTTTCGGATGCAATATTGAAAATAATCGCAATCTCTTTGCTCCCGCTTCTCCATGACTCGCTATGCATCTCCGAATAATAATAAATGAATATATAAAATATCTTTTTACAAGCGAAACAAATCTCACTCAAAGAGATTCAGTTTCGCTCGAAAATATCAGGTGCGCTATCTTTTGTAGCGCTGTACTCTATTAAAACTCACCAATTTTCCGACGGATTGAAAGCGTAGAAAGGAACGGTCCGTGCCTCAAACTGCCACACGCGATGAACTCACGACGGATCTCGCCCAGCTATCTCCAGAGGGTCCGTTTCGCGAGATATTCAGTTTCCGTGGCTGTTTCACGATATGTCTCAGCACAATAAACGCACGAGACTTACTTCCGGCACTCCCGACGACATTTCGCGCGCGAGACTCCTTCGACGAGTCGGAAGCTCGGCGCTCTGAAGATTCGAATACCGCGTTTCCGTTATCAAACGGCGAACACGCGCGACGTCATTCGGCATTCCCGACGGGCCGTTTCGCGAGATATTTGCTTTCGGCGGCTTTTCACAACGCACTTTCACACGCACGAGACTTACGCTCCCGACAATAATTTACGCGGGGGATTCCGCTTCGTCAAGTCCACAGCGAGTGAAGTGCGACGATTTCAAACTCCGAGCTACCACAACGAACGCGCGTCATTTCACCCGGCACTCCCGACGGCCCGTTCCGCGAAATGTTCACTCTCCTCGTCTTCCCAACGACACGTCCCATCACGGTAAACGCACGATACTCACTTGCGCCACTCCCAGCAATAATTGTTCGCGCGTCGAACTTTCCCTGGGCGAGCCGAAGTCACGAGAGACACAGGACGACTCCTCGAGTACGCGTTACCGCGCCCGCCATGATCCATTACCGTAGTTGACGGAACGCCACCGCAGTTCAGATACGCGAAGTGTTTTGATACGCACGATACTTCACTCGACAGTCCGGCGGCATTTCGAATGGATTTTCGATTCACTGTATGTAATAGCGAAGAAGCTCTAAGGCCGATACTCATAGTCGGACTTTATATTTAAGACCGTCTTAAGTTTATCTTCAGATGCTTTGTGACCAATGAAATCATCCGTAGACCATCTAAAGATAAACTTTTAAGACGATCTTATAAATATAAGATCCGACTATGAATATTGGCCTAATATCCGAATCAATAATTATTGTCTTGAAACTCGTCTCAAGTTAGATATCCGGAGTTGAATTTAGAGAGATGTGAGTTTCTGGCTGATTCGCGATTACAAATATAATGTGTCGTATGTGTTTATAATTCGAGTAAAATATTCAAATCCAACTCGAAATTTAGATCTGCGTATCTCACGTGAAACAAGTTTGGAGTGATAACAATTAATATGAACCTAATAGGCGTGAGGAAGAGAGAAAAAGAGAAGTTATAATACGATATTACTAATATCTGAAACCAACGGTTACCGATAATACCTAGGTTAGGTTAGGTTAGGTTTAATACTAGGTTTCCTCCAAAATTCATGCGTTTACATCGTTATTTGTATCATTTGATACGCGTATTAGTTTAGTACGATACTCCTACTTGGTATGCTCGTACCAAGTTGATCCGTCAGTGTTTATATTATGCGTATTAAATATTTAGGATGAATTTGATACGAATATAGTGAACCTGATACGCATATCAAGTGCACAATATAAACTAGACCAATATAACACAGAATGTCAGCGCGCGGTAATTGGAAAAACAACGTATCACTGCCTGTACTTATGTCGCTGCACTGCTACATCACGCCTCGACGCGGTGAGGCAAAACGCAGGATCGTAGCGATATAAATCGCGCGCTGACATCCGCCTACTATATTATTGGATAGCGAGCGCTCCTCCCTCAATCATACAGTGTGTCTTTCCTTAATTTTTTACAATTAATTTCTCTGTTACTATTGAAAATATCACAAAACGGTATGGGACTTTTATATTCATCTCAATCCTCTCTACGTCGTTACGAGAGATTGTGAAAGTGATCTGAGACACCTTGTATACGTGCACAGCATTCAAAAAGTTAAGTATAGAGAGTATAACGTAACGCAATCGAGAAGAACAAATCTTGTGATTTATATATTTCTTGAAAATCTTATTATCTGGGACGCTCAGAGTGTTCTTAATATTGAGAATATTAGATAAATAATAAGATTAAGTTTGGTTATTGCATATCTCAATTGTTCTATCAAACAATTGTGTCTAACAATTGGGATAACGTTCAAAAATCTATCACGGCCAAAAGGATCCCCAATGAAAAATTTTTCATACATAATTATGTAAAATTATATAAAATTATATATAATTTTATATTATTATATATAATTATGTATGAAATTTGTCCATACATTTAATATATATTACTTATATATAATCATGTATAATTATATATATTATTTCATATATAATTTTACATAATTACGCATACAATTATATACATAATTATGTATCATTTTATATGATACATAATTATATATAATGTATAATTATATATCATTTTATATGATTATATATGATTATACATAATTATGTACAGAAAAATTTTATATATAATTATGCATGAAAAATTTTTTATCGGGGATTTTTTATTATATACAAGAGCTTATAGTCGCTTAAGATTAAATATATCATACAGATATATAATATTAATGCCGTAAATTATATGTATATATCTAATAAATCGTCTTTCTAATAAAAAACTATTAAATTAGCTGATCCACTACGCTCATTGAAATATACTAGTAGAAATGGCCTACCTGGCGCCACATAGCGGCGTCGCACCGAAAGATGTGTTTGAATCTCTACGAAGTAAGGTTTGAGTCTTGGCTAAATAATTTATTACAGTTTGATTGATATTACTTTAATTATTAACTTCAAAAACCTTTATTCTCAGCTTTGCTTTATCGATAAAAGTATCTTTTAAAATAGTTTTTATTAAAAGACTTATAAACCACTTTTAGATACTTTTATTGATGTATATACCCTTACGAAAAAAATACGAAAAACCCCTCAATTTTGGGTGTTAACATCCAAAAACTAGGAGTAAATAAATTGTGTGTTGATAAATTGAGTGTTAATATCCTAAATTTGAGTGTTAATATCCAAAATTGAAGGTTTTTTCGTATCTTTTTCGTAAGAGTATACAGAGAGAAACCTGAGAGCCACCAAACTGATTTTAGTGGCCAGAGTTAGGCCACTTTCGAAACGCCATCTAACAAAGTGCGCTTTTACTACGTTCGTTAGGTGCATTTTCGTGATGGTAACGATAAAATGCGCCTAATTCGTGCCCGTTGTATTCCGTACAATGATAGTAAATTAGAAAAAGACAGACGTCTAATTGCTCTATTCTTATCTCACCACTGATGAGCGAACTGCGCGACATAGGCACAAAACGAGCTAGCGGCGATATTATCGCAAAACTAGATTATCTCTCATCAGTCTCGTCTTTCTCGCGCTGCGTTCTGCGTAATTTTGTAAGAAAAAAAGATTTGGAAACTAGACAATATAAAACAAAATAAATAAATATACAAGCTTAAACATGCCACTCATATTTTTTGCTTATTTCTCGGCAACCATAAAAGATATCGAAGTAATTAAAAAAAAAAAAAACTATATTCTCCACAATTTACAACGTTGGAATTCAAAGTTTACAATAACACTAATAATACTAATACTATAATAATACGATTCATTAAATAAGCCGTGAAAGCGTGCGTACTTTTCGACGTCGCTGACAGCCATATTAATACTGATTGCATTTTTCGTGCATTTCTCGACAACCACTAAAGATATCAAGACGACTCAAGGGGCACTATCTGCCCCACAATTCATCTTATTGGAATTGGTAATTCATAATCGTACGAATAATATCGGAGACCAAATAACGGTTCGAATCTCGGCTCCACACACACACACACACACAATAGTATAGTGGAGACTCCAAACACATCGGTTCGAATCTCGGCTTAATAATTTAGCGAGAAAATTTGATGAGATATAGTGAATCCAACGTTAAGAACGCGACTTTGGGATATTGGGAACTTATTTTCAACATTCTGGACGGGTTACTGAGGGAGTAGAGTGACACACATTCCCAAGTAGCAAGGTGACGTCTAAAAACGTCACATTGTTACCTGGGTTGTCATCCAAGAGACGATGCAGAGCAAAATACGCACACGTCACGTCATTTTCGAAAATACACCTTTGCAAACGCGAAAATTACATTAAAAAAACAGTAAAAAATTATTCCCGAATATGCTCTAGATGCTATCACTAAATGACCTAAAT